TTGGTTTTGACCCACAGCCAACTCACAAGCCACAGGAGGTTGCACATAGCGCCGAGAATCGGCCGAGCTCGAGCGCATTGCAGGCGCTTCGTGGCTGCTTCATCTCCGGAAGGCGGCAGTGGGATGTGACGTTCGCCGGTTGGCGTGTCAAAATCGGACCCCTAAAAATGGGCAGGGCTTAAGCCAGCACCCGGACAAGCTACAAACCAGCACCCGGACGGCCTGAAAGGAGCCGAACGGTGCCGAACAAATGGCTGTGGTTGTCAACACCAATGGGATCCCATTTTTGGGGTAGGTGAAGGCACCACCCATTTTAGAACCTATTTTAGTGGTTGGATTGGTTGATGTTCACCGGGGGGGTAACCGGGATTTTGACGCATGGTCTAAGAATGGGCCGGGGGTCAAACCATTTTTTTGGTTTCCCCTGTCAACCCAAGCTGAAAAGGATGGCCGCAAGGAACGGCAAATGTCTCCAAATTCCCGAGGCCTTTGCGCCTGCCGCATGTCTGGGAGCATGCTCCATGGATGAAACAACTAGGATGCCGAGGCCAACACACGTTTTGATCCTGGCCAATACGGGTGTTTTCCAAAGCAGAAGTGCCAAGCATGGGGCCTAAGTTTGAGCATATCCCCACAAATGTGGAGTTTAACCAAACACACACACACACACACACACACACACACACACACACACACACACACACACACACACACACACACACACACACACACACACACACACACACACACACACACACACACACACACACACACACACACACACACACACACACACACACACACACACACACACACACACACACACACACACACACACACACACACACACACACACACACACACACACACACACACACACACACACACACACACACACACACACACACACACACACACACACACACACACACACACACACACACACACACACACACACACACACACACACACACACACACACACACACACACACACACACACACACACACACACACACACACACACACACACACACACACACACACACACACACACACACACACACACACACACACACACACACACACACACACACACACACACACACACACACACACACACACACACACACACACACACACACACACACACACACACACACACACACACACACACACACACACACACACACACACACACACACACACACACACACACACACACACACACACACACACACACACACACACACACTCACACACACACACACACACACACACACACACACACACACACACACACACACACACACACACACACACACACACACACACACACACACACACACACACACACACACACACACACACACACACACACACACACACACACACACACACACACACACACCACACCACACACACACACACACACACACACACACACACACACACACACACACACACACACACACACACACACACACACACACACACACACACACACACACACACACACACAAACACACACACACACACACACACCCACACACACAAACACACACACACACACACACACACACACACACACACACACACACACACACACACACACACACACACACACACCAACACAAAACACACACACACACACACACACACACACACACACACACACACACACACACACACACACACCCAGACACACACAGACACACACAGACACACACAGACACACACAGACACACACAGACACACACAGACACACACAGACACACACAGACACACACAGACACACACAGACACACACAGACACACACAGACACACACAGAGACACACAGAGACACACAGAGACACACAGAGACACACAGAGACACACAGAGACACACATAGACACACAGAGACACACAGAGACACACAGAGACACACAGAGACACACAGAGACACACAGAGACACACAGAGACACACAGAGACACACAGAGACACACAGAGACACACAGAGACACACAGAGACAAACAGATACACACAGAGACACACAGAGACACACAGAGACACACAGAGACACACAGAGACACACAGAGACACACAGAGACACACAGAGACACACAGAGACACACAGAGACACACAAGGACACACAGAGACACACAGAGACACACAGAGACACACAGAGACACACAGAGACACACAGAGACACACAGAGACACACAGAGACACACAGAGACACACAGAGACACACAGAGACACACAGAGACACACAGAGACACACAGAGACACACAGAGACACGCAGAGACACACAGAGACACACAGAGACACGCAGAGACACGCAGAGACACGCAGAGACACGCAGAGACACGCAGAGACACGCAGAGACACGCAGAGACACGCAGTAACACGCAGAGACACGCAGAGACACGCAGAGACACGCAGAGACACGCAGAGACACGCAGAGACACGCAGAGACACGCAGAGACACGCAGAGACACGCAGAGACACGCCACGCAGAGACACGCAGAGACACTCAGAGACACGCAGAGACACGACAGCAGAGACACGCAGAGACACGCAGAGACACGCAGAGACACGCAGAGACACGCAGAGACACGCAGAGACACGCAGAGACACGCAGAGACACGCAGAGACACGCAGAGACACGCAGAGACACGCAGAGACACGCAGAAACACGCAGAGACACGCAGAGACACGCAGAGACACGCAGAGACACGCAGAGACACGCAGAGACACGCAGAGACACGCAGAGACACGC